TAGAGTTTTTTTTTTTTCTTCTGAGAGTCACGGAAGCAGCCTCTAGTAGCTTTTCAGGGAGACAGCCACTAGAGGCTGGATTAACACTCAATGAAAACATGTCCGGTACCCAGACCAGTTCATTGGGCTGAAGTGGTCTGGGTGCCTATAGTGGTGGCAGATTTTATTTTTTTGCTCTATTATATGAAGGTCTGGAACTCCTAATCTACCATTTATCTTTATGTTGTAAACAGGGCCGGACTGCTAAAAAAATTAGGCCCGGGCATTTCAGAGTGGCCACCTTAGACAGGGGGCGGGGCCAGAGAGGGTGTGTTTTGTCATCACTAATGACAAGTACGCCCCCTCTCAAAGTGAGCATGTTGGTTCAATGCGCAGAGCATTGCTGAAGAGCTCTAGCATTAGAAAAAGGCCCTGTATTCTGCGCAGCGCAAGCAAATTTAATAACATGCTGTGTTTGCTTTTAACTTGTCTCTTGTGTCTCCATAAGTGGGATACCAGAGGACAAAAGGGCCAGGAAAGCGTATGGTGCATGTGTTTGGAGCCTGCTTGTGGGATTGTCTGTAGAATGAGCTGATTGTGGTGGGGTATTGTGTAAATAGGTCAATTTCATTTGTGGTGTAATATGTGTGGCTAGGGGCTGTACAGAGTGTGTGTATAGGGGCATAATGTTAGTGTGTACATACGGACTGTAGTGTGTAGGGGTTGTAGAGAGGGTGTGTATGTTTACAAGATATGTAGTGTGAGTGTGTGTGAGTGTGTGTGTGTGTGTGTGATTAAGAGTGCATATAGGGTAAGGGATCTAGCGTGTGTGTGTGTGTGGTGGTGTGTGTGTTTTTTTGTTTTTTTTTATCTGCCGTCACATTCTAGGTTTCTAATTTTCTTTGTTAACTCAATGAGGATTATTTTATATAATGTGTGTGTGTGTGTGTGAATTTTCTATCTACATTTTTTTTTTTTATCTAACAAAAAAGCTATATTCCATCCCTTCTTACCTTTAGCCTGGGAGGGGGGGAGCAATGCTGCCTTCCCTGGTGGTCCTAGTGGTGAGAGTGAACTGTAGCCTGCAGGCTAGGGTTCACTCTCGCGAGATCTGAGCGTTGCCGTGGTAACCGCGGCAACGCTCAGACTTAGCTAGAGGAACCCGGCGGAGCTGCTGGCTAGATTTTCCCCCGGGTCCTATCTCCTCTCCGTACCTCCCCAGCCAGATGCAGTGTCACAGTGCCTGTGGGCCGGTGAGGGAGATCTTTGATCTCACCGCAGGACCTGGGTGACGTCAGTGGTCCTCTAGACTAAGCAGTTTTCTATACATTATCAATAGCCACCTTTTTCAATTGCCTGACATTTCTTATATATTTATATTCCATAGTATGCCTTTGTAATATGGAAGTAAAAATGTAAAGCCATTTCTACTTAAACTAGACCTGTGCTATTCGGTTCGAATGTAAATTCTGAAGAATTTTGGACATTCGGGTGCTTCAGACTTCTGAAAAGTGGCAGAACAGGTAGGGTTAGGGTACCTCTAACCCTATGTGCCGAATTTCAGAATGCCGAACCAAATTTTTTGCCCATGCACATCCCTAACTTAATTTTTTTTTTTAAAGTATAAAAACAAGACACAATCTTACATCTTGGCTTCAGCAAAGCATTAGTTTTAGCGATTCAGTCATAGTTGTGACTTTGGCTTTTTGGGGGGCTTTAAGTAGACAGATAACATCTGATAAGTTTTATACTTTTCTTTCCTAAAAGGAACTTGGTTTATTGGTCTACCTCTCACTATTAATAGGGTGAGGAAGATGGGCAGACTTTATATATTTTTATTTTTTTTGGGGGGGGAGCTAAAGTGCCTCAAGTTTTAGGAAGATAGACAATAGTATGTCCACCCCGCTTATATCCTATTACCCCCATTTGCCACTCATGGGAGGAAGGGACATGAAGTCTCTCTAATTATTAGAGGCCTTACCCAATGCTCAGGGGAGACAACCTTCTGTTCGGTTACCAAATACTCTGTGTGGTCCCCCTTGTTAACACCTCGTAATCCCCGACCACGTCGCAATTGCTTTTGACGATTTTAACGAACAATCATTGGTTTTAAAAAAACAATTTATTGAAAAGAACTATTCCTGTACACTCCTGGATAATACTATAGATACAGTCAGAAATAAACCTAGAGAAAGTCTTTTAACGTATAAGGATAAAAATACTTCAGAAGCCCCCACCCTTCCTATAATTTTTAATTATAATAACAAAAGTGGTTTTATTAAAAAAAACAATTAAAAAACATTGGCATCTCTTAAGACAAGATGATCTGCTTAAAGAGATTTTACCAATACAGCCTAAAATTGTTTTTAGAGGTGCACCAAATTTTAGATCCATTTTAACTAATAACTACACTGTAGGAACATAAGAAATGGGTACCAAAATCACTCTGTATCGAAGCACTTTATTAATCATAATGAAGATCCTAAATTTCTTAAATGTATAGGAATTCAGAAATGTCAAATCCCTTGGAGAGGTGGTAATATAAAAAATATTCTTGGAAGATCAGAGATGAAATGGGTGTTCAACTTACAAACCCTAACGCCCCAAGGTTTAAATGTAGATTTCGATTTATTTAATTTTCTATAATTTTAATTTGTTAAATTTTTCCTATTTTTTTTTTATATTGCTTTTATTTAAAATTTATTTTCCTTATTTCTAGATTTTATCTACTTGTCTTTTATCCACTTGGTTTCAAAAAAACAAAAACAAAACAAATATATATATATATATTTTTTTTTTTTTTACTTGTCTTCCCCCTATCATCTGGCTATGAACACTATGACTAGTAAGGCCCCCTACATGACTGTATTTTTATGATGTACAGATTTATAAATATACTTTTTTGACTTTACGTTTACTAACTTTTACTTTCACATACACTCTACCCATTTCTGTTTACTATCTTCTATTTTTAAGTTTATATATATATATATATATATATATATATATATATATATATATGTGTGTAAGCTTATTTTATTCACTCATTGTGGGTATTTTTTAATCATCTATACATTTTTTATATTATATTTTTTATATATTTATTCCCTTACTTCATTTATTATTACCACCCTCCCCCCAGATAGCCCTTTTAACATATACTCAATCTATTTATATTTTGCTTAATATATTCTGTTTTGCCGATTTTTTTAATAAAAATTCCATTTCCCATGATGCCCGCGGCTCCGGTCACGTGACCCGCGGATAGTACTTTGGTATGACGCCGCGGGTCACATGACGTAGCCCGACCCCGCCCTGCCGTCCGTGCGTGCCGCCCTCTCCATGGGACGGCCGCACGGACCTGTCTTACATGGGAGTATAGTGGGCGGTCACGTGGCCCGGGCTCCCGGGGTGCATTGCGGGTCACGTGACACGCGCCAATTATTTATTTTAATTTCTCCTTATCCTTTATTATGCTATCCTCATTTTTAAAGTATGTCAACACAAATAAATTTGTATATTTTAACCCAATTATGTAATATATAATTTTTTATCTTTTGTTCATTGTATTCTCAATTTACATTTTGAACAGCCCTGATTGGTGGACTTTTTTTGGCGCCAGTTTTGAATTTGTGAACTAGCTATATATACTCCTTAAGTGCCAGGTATTGATATCATTCCAATTTGATAAAGCCATTGTGGCAAAACGCGTTATTGGTTTTAATATATTGTATTATTAATAAATCATTTCATATTATTACTTCTTTATACTATTTTATTTCTATTTACCTTTCCTGGCATTTTACATATCCTAAGGTGGGGATCATACCACCCACGCTATCATCAGAATGCAGACAGGCCGGCACTCTACTTGTGAGTACATTTTATTTTATTTCAACGTATTTTTAAATTACATCACCAGAGAGCACTATTGGCTGTTTTAATCTCTTTTCCTTTGAGCATTGGACACCAGCACTCTCCAGGAGGACAAGCACCCCTACAAGCGGAGGGTTATCCGCTGTATGCCCGTTACACTAGAGCTGGCCTTAGCTCATGGAAATGTGAGTGTGGAGTTTATATTTTAATTTTCACGGATATTTATTTATACACTCTGCACGATTGGTCTTTTCCCATTGTGTCTTTCATATCGTGAGACGGACTACTTCAAACAGAGAAGACATTACACCAGTTGAGACAACAACTAAAGATAGATATTGGGACTCTTTATTTATATTACATTTTTAATCACATATTTTATTTGTGTAATATTTATATACTTCCCTTGGCGCAGCCTTTCTTTGTTTTTACTTGTATATTGTCATTGTAGAGGGTTAGAGGGTAACCCTCTGTTAGGCCGCTGCCTTTTATTCATTTTATTATTAGCGCTAACCTTTTTTATCTTTTCCTTTTCCTCTCTCTGCGTTGCCTCTCTCTGCGTTATTATAAGGTGTGTTAAGTAGTACTATTCCTATCAGTTTAATCCCTGTTACGTCCCCTATCAGGGGACGTGTATATGGCATCGATTTTAGGAACTGGGAGATGGAAAAAGATGCTTGGTCGGTCCTCCTACTTCAAATTTGGGGCACTGCGCGTGCAATCTAATGTGCCACCAGATAGGAGTGGTGTTTTAAGTAGTACTATTCTTATCAGTTTAATCCCAATGTCACGACTACTAGTGTGGTCCAGCACGCAGAAACTATGTAAACATATACATAAGCAAGAAAAGGAAAATAAAGGGACAGAGCGTAAACCGGAGCTTAGAATGGCCGGACTAATACACTAGAGACAGAGAATGGTCAAAGGGAAAGCCGAGGACAAGGAAGCCAGAAAATACACAATACCGTTTACACAAGCCAAGTCAGGGAAACCAGAATTCAGAATAACCAGGGAAAAGCCAAGATCAGGATACCAGGAAATCAGATTCACAATGATAAAGCACTCCTGGAAACCAGGAACAGGAAACCACGACAGGGCAAGGTACTGGGGTGAGCTAGGGATTTAAATATCACGCGGCGGGCCGACAGGCCTTTTTTAGTCGAATGTATCGCCCACTATCAGTCCCTTCGGGATCCATCCCTCATTCATCTTAATAAAGGTAATCTAGACTTTTTTGACCTAGGCGACTTCTCTTCTCAGTGACAATACCTCCTGCTGCACTGAAGGTCCTTTCTGTCAAGACACTTGAAGCGGGGCAGGCCAGAAGTTCTATCGCAAATTGGGATAGCTCAGGCCACAGGTCAAGCCTGCACACCCAGTAGTCAAGGGGTTCATCGCTCCTCAGAGTGTCGATATCTGCAGTTAAGGCGAGGTAGTCTGCTACCTGTCGGTCGAGTCGTTCTCTGAGGGTGGACCCCGAAGGGCTGTGGCGATGCATAGGACTTAAAAAGCTCTGCATGTCCTCCATCAACAACACGTCTGTAAAGCGTCCTGTCCTTGCCGGCGTGGTCGTGGGAGGAGGAGGATTACTTTCACCTCTTCCCCTGTTAGATTCCCATTGTGCTGTGACATCACCCTTATACGCTGTGTAAAGCATACTTTTTAATTGATTTTGGAACTGCTGCATCCTTTCCGACTTGCCGTAATTCGGTAACATTTCAGGCACTTTCTGATTATACCGGGGGTCTAGTAGCGTGGACACCCAGTACAGGTCGTTCTCCTTCAGCCTTTTTATACGAGGGTCCCTCAATAGACACGACAGCATGAAAGACCCCATTTGCACAAGGTTGGATGCCGAGCTACGCATGTCCTGTCCCTCGTCCTCAGTGATCTCACTGAGGTATGTTCTTCCCCCCAGCCACGTACAACACCGTGGGTACCAGATAGGTGACAACGAGCACCCTGGGATGCCTGTTGTGGTAGGTCTTCCTCCTCCTCCTCAAAGCCACATTCCTCATCTGACTCCTCTTCCTCACAATCCTCTTCCAGCGTTGCCGCAGGTCCAGCAAGCAATGCTGATAAGGCTGTTTCTGGTGGTGATGGTGACCACAACTCTTCCTCTTCACGCTCATCTACGGCCTGATTCAGCACTCTTCGCAGGGCACGCTCCAGAAAGAAAACAAATGGTATGATGTCGCTGATGGTGCTTTCGGTGCGACTGACTAGGTTTGTCACCTCCTCAAAAGGACGCATGAGCCTACAGGCATTGCGCATGAGCATCCAGTAACGTGGCAAAAAAATTCCCAGCTCCGCAGAGGCTGTCCTAGCACCCCGGTCATACAAATACTCGTTAATGGCTTTTTCTTGTTGGAGCAGGCGGTCGAACATTAGGAGTGTTGAATTCCAATTCCATGCCTCACTGGCATGTTTTTTCACCGCTGGATATCTGAAAAGTGCGCCATGGCCTTGTAGGAACGCCTGAAATGGCCACACACCTTCCTGGCCTGCTTCAGGATGTCCTGTAAGCCTGGGTACTTATGCACAAAGCGTTGTACGATCAGATTACACACATGTGCCATGCACGGCACATGTGTCAACTTGCCCAAATGCAATGCCGCCAACAAATTTCTTCCGTGCGTTCAGGGCGGACAGGAGTGCTGGTCCGGTGTGACTCTCTGCTCTCAGGCAAGTCAATCGTATCCAGGATGTGGAATAGTACCTGGGGAGCTGGGGGGGTGCCGTTGATGTGGAGCAAGACACAGCAGCAGAAGAGGACTCAGCCGAGGAGGTTATGGAAGAGGATGGAGTAGGAGGAGTAGAGGAGGTGGCATCAGGCCTGCCTGCAAGTCGTGGCGGTGTCACCAACTCCTCTGCAGAGCCACGCATTCCATGCTTGGCAGCCGTCAACAGGTTTACCCAATGTGCAGTGTAGGTGATATACCTGCCCTGACCATGCTTTGCAGACCAGGTATCAGTGGTCAGATGGACCCTTGTCCCAACACTGTGTGCCAGACATGCCATTACTTCCTTTTGCACAATAGAGTACAGGTTAGGGATTGCCTTTTGTGCAAAGAAATTTCGTCCGGGTACCTTCCACTGCGGTGTCCCAATAGCTACAAATTTTTTGAACGCCTCATACTCCACCAGCTGGTATGTTAAAAGCTGGTGGGCTAAGAGTTCAGTCAAGCCAGCTGTCAGACGCCGGGCAAGGTGACTTTGTGACATTGGCTTCTTATGCTCAAACATGTCCTTGACAGACACCTGACTGTGGGCAGATGAGCAGGAACTGCTCAAGGCAAGAGACGGAGGGGCGGATGGTTGAGAGGGGGCAAGGAGGACAGCAGTGGTTAACGTGGCTGAAGATGCTGGACCAGGAGGAGGATGTCGTCTTTGAGTTTGTGTGCTGCTTGTACTCATGTGTTGATCCCATAGGCGTTTGTGATGTGCGATCATGTGCCTTCGCAAAGCAGTTGTACCGAGGTGGGTGTTGGACTTCCCACGACTCAGTTTCTTTTGGCACAGGTTGCAAATGGCATCGCTGTTGTCAGAGGCAGACACACAAAAAAAATGCCATACTGCTGATCTCTGCAATGACGGCATTCTGGTGGTGGCAACAGCATGCGTTGATTGGCGTGCTGTCTGGCTGACCCCGGGTGCCGATGCATGCTGTCTGACTGTGCCACTAGCTCCTTGCGACGACCTCCTCCTGCTTCCAACTCGTCTCCTCCTCCTCTCTGTCTCCTCATTTGAACTTTCCCCCTGTTCTTCTTCTCTTCTAGCGGGCACCCATGTGACATCCACGGATGCATCGTCATCATCAACGGCTTCACTTGTATCTGACAACTCAGCAAAGGAAGCAGCAGCGGGTACAACATCATCATCATCACACCGTACGTCCATGTGTGTAATGCTGCCTGACTGAGACATATCCCTGTTATCTACATCCTCTGGCAATAATGGTTGCGCATCACTCATTTCTTCCAACTGATGTGTAAATACCTCCTCTGACATACCAAGTGAAGCTGCTGTGGTGCTAGTGTTGGTGGTGGAGGCAGGCGGGCGAATGGTAACCTGAGAGGTGCCCGAAGCTAAGCTGGAGGAGGATGGTGCGTCAAGGTTCCAAGCGGAAGCTGTAGAAGTTTGGGTGTCCTGTGTTAGCCAGTCAACTATGTCCTCAGAACTTTTCGAGTTCAGGGTACGTGGCCTCTGAACACTGGGCATTATTCTAGGGCCAAAGGGAATCACAGCACCACGACCACGACGGCCCCTGCGGGGTGGTCTGCCTCTGCCTGTAATTTTTTTTCGATTAGTGGTACTATGCGTGCAAGCTAGTGTGACAACAGATATGAGTGGCACTGCGCAGTGGCAGAAGTTGGCAGAGTAGACGCTGGCTGACACCGGATATGAGTGGTGGCACTGGGCAAGTGGGCACAGTATACGCTGTAAGCCTGACACACACGCTGGCAGACAACTTACTGCTATTCAATCTATTACAGTAAAAATTGTATTTTCTTTTTAAAATGTACACTACTGTTACACCAGATATGAGTTTCACTGGTGTGACACTGTGCCCTCCCAGGCCCTGAAATGCACATGCGTGAAGGAAACTGACTGCTATTATATTACAGTCCAAAAAGTTTGTTTTTTTTTAAATGCAAGCTATTGTGACACCAGTGAGTGAGTGGTGGCACTGGGCAGGCCCTGAAACGCACACTCGTGAAGGAAACTGACTGCTATTATATTACAGTCAAAAAAGTTTTGTTTTTTTTAAATGCAAGCTATTGTGACACCAGTGAGTGAGTGGTGGCACTGGGCAAGTGGGCACAGTATATGCTGTGAGCCTGACACACAGGCTGGCAGGCAGGCAACTGCAATTACATTACACAGAAGAAAAAAAAGCAGACTGATGTTCTAGCCCCACAATGAATGTAAAATGGATGCTGTCCAGGAGGTGGGAGGGTCTGGGAGGGAGGGTCTGCTGCTGATTGGCTGGAATGTGTCTGCTGACTGTGAGGTACAGGGTCAAAGTTTACTCAATGATGACGAATAGGGGGCGGACCGAACAGCGCATATGTTCGCCATCCATGGCGAACGCGAACAAGCGATGTTCGCCAGGAACTATTCACCAGCGAACCGTTCAGGACATCACTAGTCTGTTTTTCTTGACCTGGCGGTGACTCTGTTTATACTGTCAGCTGTTATGCCAGACTTGGCTTTTTGTATATGGCACGTGACAAGAAGCAGGTAAGGTGGTAGACAGGAGATCTATCAGACCAGGTTTGACAAGTGGAATTTTACCACAATAAAAATAATTCCTGTGTTTGGTAACTAAAGACTACTGGATCCAAGTGTTGCACAAATTAGTCAAGGAATGTGGGCTTTAACTAATGCAGGCTGTGCTTAAAAGTGTGCTTTTTGGGGGTGTGGCCTGACCGTGAAGGAAGCTGGACGCATCTGACTAGAGCTCCGCTCCGATCACACTGCAATTAGCTCACAAAAGCACTAAAAACTTGCAAACCAACCCCAAAAAATGGAGAAGAGGCACCCTAAGAAGACCACCAGAAAAGGCCGGTAAGTGTTCCGGCCTCTTTGCAGCCCAGAGAGCCAGGCAGCAGGAGAATCAAGATGGCCTATCGTCCCAACCACCCTCACCACGTGCAGCCCTCGTTGAGGACACATCCTCAGGGGGCACAACACAGATATTGTCCAGGCTGGTGGAGGTAAGATCCTACGTGGCCGGGGAGATTGAAAAATCTACGTCCGTCCTGCAGGCCGAGATACTCGCTTGGCGCGAGGACCCACAGCCTGGAGGCCAGACTGGAAACCACCACCGTGGCCAACAATGTGGTGGTTGCACAAGTTAATAGCCTCTCTAACTGCATGGCAGAGGCGGAACTAATGATGGAGGACATGGCCAATAGATCGCGGCGCAACAACCTCCGTCTGAGAGGCCTCCCAAAGAAGGAAAACGAGGGCACCATTCGAGACCTCGTGCTGGAAGCACTGCGGCCCCCGGCGGAGCAGTGGATCATAGAGAGGGCTCACAGGGCCCTACGTAACCGGAAACCAGACACAGTCTTCCCGCGGGATGTGGTAGTCCGCTTCCTTCATTTCCAAACCAAGGATGCCCTGCTCCATAAGAGCAGAGATGGGCCCATAAAGCATGGAGGAGCCAAAATTTCCCTATATCAGGACCTGGCGCCCAGCGCCTTACAGCGCCGCTGGGAATGGAAACCCATAACAGAAGCCTTGAGATGGGCGGGGATCCGCTACGCATGGGGCTTTCCTTTTAAACTCCTGGCCTTCAAGGATGGCCCAAAACACGTTCTCGCACCCGGCGGGGACCTGCAGCACCTGTTCCTTGGCCTGCGACTTCCACCCTCTCTCAACTTACCGGCCGTACCATCCACACCGAAGGAATTGAGCAGTCTACCCACAGAATGGCAGGAGG